ATGGGTTGGCGCATTGGGCTGCAGTCCTTATGCTAACTGCGGTGGCTGAGGCAGGAGGATTGCTGAGCCCAGGAGTCGGAGTTGCTGTGAGCTAGGCTGATGCCACGGCACTCACTCTAGCCTGGGCAACAAGGCAAGACTCTCTCTCAAAAAAAAAAAAAAAAAAAATCTTCAGAATGAACTAAGTTCAAAAGTAGACCTGCTTAGAGAAAGTAAGACCAGATTAAGAAGCTACAGCAATCCGTAGACTCTCAGAAATTAGAAAATATGAAAATGGACTTGTCCTACTCATCAGAAGAACTTGCAAACATATGGAAGCAAAGGGAATATCATGCTCAGTTATATCAAAGACAATCGGAGGCAAGAAAGAAAATACAAATTGATCTGGAGGAAGCATTGTAATCAGCTTTGAATGAAATGACAAAACTCAACTCCCTTATACATGGTTCGAAAAAAGGTTCGAAAAGGTCCTCTTCAGCTGTCCCCATGTCGTGATTGATGAAACCACACCTGGTCTATTTATCAATCTATTTTGTTTTTGGCATTTCAGTGTAAACTGCATACAGCAGTACATATCCCCCATAAATGCTTCAGTAACACATCATTAACTAGAGTTCAATATTGAGATTTTTCTTTTGATATGAATTTACACACAAAATGCACAAATATATAAGTCTTAGGTGTATATTCACTGACCTGTTTCAATAAAGCTCTTTTTTTTTTTTGAGACAGAGTCTCGCTTTGTTGCCCAGGCTAGAGTGAGTGCCATGGCGTCAGCCTAGCTCACAGCAGCCTCAAACTCCCAGGCTCAAGCAATCCTCCTGCCTCAGCCTCCCGAGTCAGCTGGGACTAACAGCGTGCAGCCACCATGCCCGGCTATTTTTCTGATATATATTAGTTGGCAATTAATTTCTTTCCATTTATAGTAGAGAACAGGGTCTCCACTCTGCTCAGGCATGGTTTCGAACTCCTGATCCTCGAGCGATCAGCCCGCCTCGGCCTCCCAGAAGGCTAGGATTGACACCCCCCCCCGCCTGATAGACGCTCCTTTTAAATGTAATGGAAAAAAACCAACAAAAAAAGCCCAAACCTACTTTCTCACTTTGTCCCGAGATCAGACCCAGAGGGCAAGAAGGAGGTTTCACTCCAGCGTGTGCTGGGGGATTTGGGTGTTCATCACGGGCCTCAGCAGGCTCTTTTGGGAGCACGTGTGGCCCACGGAGCTGCCAGCTTACACCGCAGGCCTCTCTGCCTTCCATGCTGCGCTCCCCATGTCCCTTGGAGGGAAAACTTTTTTTGGGGGGGGGCCGTGGGGGATAATTTAAAGAGGGTTATATCCTGGGCCAAATGTATGTGGACCAACCCCGGGGCCACGTGCCTCAGAAGCCCGGCTCATTTTTTCAATATATATATATTAGTTGGCCAATTAGTTTCTTTCTATTTATAGTAGAGATGGGGTCTTGCTCAGGCTGGTTTCAAACTCCTGACCTTGAGCGATCCGCCCGCCTCGGCCTCCCAGAGTGCTAGGATTACAGGCGTGAGCCACCGCGCCCAGCCCATTCTCAAGATCTTGATTATATACTTCTGCATGCTTAAGTTGCGGGAAGGTTGTGCGAACAAATCACAATATAGTCTGACAAACATGGGCAGACACTGAGGAGGTGGCCGTGGGTCTTTGAAGGCTGAACGGCTGAAACTATAACCAACTTCCTCATGCCGGGGCTCACGCTGCAAGGCGGGGTGGTGGGAAAGCGGTGTGCAAACTCGAGGGGGGCAGGCTGTGTGTGTCCGTGGAGCGAGCATCTCCTGGCCAAAAGGTTCATGCCAAGGAGCGGGAAGAAAGGACTGTGTGAGCCTTCGAGGGCAGGGCGCCCTCGTTTTAATCCCATCCTGAGCAGCGCTTCCTGCCGCCGCCCCGAGCATGATGGGAGACTGAGCTAGACTGAGCCCAGTGGGGGGCAGGAAGACAGGAGCTGCAGTACCCATCCATGGTGGGAGAAAGACGGTGACCGCCTAAGGCCTTCAGTGGCTGGGAATTAAAGTCCGAGGGATGGTGACAAACATAGGCGATTCCCCATGTCCCTGGCCCCTTACTTCACAATGGGGCTCATGCTCACTACCCAGGGAGACAGGGAACAAAGTTAGAAACCAAA